CACCCAAGACCCAACGAAGCCCAGAGAACGAGCATTATGAGCATCAGCCGCCCAAGCTCTGCAAGCCAAATAACACAACGGATTAGCATTATGAGCATCAGCTGCCCAAGCTCTTGTCGCGTGGACAGGCATCATGCGCATCAACAAAGTCCAGAGGACGAGCATCAGGAGCATCAGCTGCCGAAGCTCTTGTGCCGCGTGGACAAGCATCATGAGTATCAGCTGCCTCGCCCAAGTTCTCAAACCCACAAGAGTAACTGACGAGCATTATGAGCATCAGCTGCCCAAGCTCTCGTGTCATGTGGACAAGCCTCATGACTACCAGCAAAGCCCGCAGGACGAGCATCATGAGCATCAGCTGCCCAAGCTCTCGAATGCTTTCAAGTCCGAAATATAACGGACAAGCATTGTGAGCACATTGTGCTGCATGGACACATCAAGCATATTAGATGTTCGGCATCATATAGGCCCCAGAGGACGAGCATCATGAGTATCAACTGCACAAGATCTCACCAAGAAGCCCAGAGAAGGAGCATCATGAGCATCAGCCGCCCTATCTTTCAAATCCAAAAGCGCAACTGACGAGCATCATGAGCATCAGCCGCCCAAGCTCTCCAAGCCAAACAACGCAACGGATTAGCATTATGGGCATCAGCTGGCCAAGCTCCTGTCGCGTGGACAAGCATCATGCGCATCAACGAAGTCCAGAGGACGAGCATCATGAGCATCAGCTGCCTAAGCTCTCGTGCCGCGTGGAGCAGCATCATTTACTTTCATCCGAGAAAACCCCAGAGGACGAGCATCATGAGCATCAGTCGCCCAAGTTCTCAAACCCAAAAGAGTAACTGACCAGCGTTATGAGCATCAGCTGCCCAAGCTCTCGTGTCCTGTGGACAAGCCTCATGACTACCAGCAAAGCCCGCAGGACGAGCATCATGAGCATCAGTCGCCCATGCTCTCAAACCCAAGAGCGCAAACTTACGAGCAGTATGAGCCGTGCCTCGTGGAGTGTCAGCTGCCTTTCATCCAGCATAGCTAGAGGACGAGCATCATGAGTACCAGACGCCCAAGTTCTCAAACCCAAAAGCACAAGGGACGAGCATTATGAGCATTTGCCCAAGCTCTCGTGCATGAGTAAAGGAAGTAAGGAGCGAGGGAGCGAGGGGAGCGAGAGCCAGGAGAGTGAGGGGAGCGAGGGGAGGGGAGGGAGGGAGGTCAAATGCCCTAGCTCTTGTCGTGTGGGCGAGCATCGTGAAGCCCACAGGACGTGCATCATGAGCATCAGTTGTCCAAGCTCTCAAGCCCAAAAGCACAGTGGACGAGCTTTATGAGCATCAGCTGCCCAAGCTTTTAAGCCCAAACTGCAACGGACACACATTATGCACCCTCGTTTCCTCGTGCAAAACCCAGGGGACAAGCATCATGACCATCAGTTGCCCAAGCGCTCTCCCAAGAAAACTCCACGCACAAGCATCGTGAGGCTTTCTGGAATCGCTGCACCCTAAACCAAAAACGAACACCAAAGCTCGAACCCGTTGAGGAACAGATTCTCGGCGATCAAAACGTGTAACCCATAAATCATAATTATCATAATTAATTCGTGAACTTTGCTGCTCTCCGCTTTGTGGCTGTGGCCAGCGCGCTCTAGGGCTTGCTTGACACATTCGAACCCGTTCCTCCTGAAATCTGCTGAAAATGCTCTCGAAAGAAGGACACGTGGGGCTTGGTCCACAAGCGCGTCCTGTGCTACGGAGAGTGGGACCGCAACGTGGTTCTGCCACAAAGAGAAAGATGCTAGACTCACATGACTTCAGCTTAAAGGAGGGTCCAAGGCAGGTGTTCGGGTTTCCTCATCTCTGTCGGTGCATTTTATGTTGTGCATGTTCGGAGCAGATCGTAGGCATGTCCAGGATGTGCACAGTGTTGCATGGTCCGCTTGAGCAGGCTTGTCTCATGGTCTGATCAAGCAACTGTATGAAGTGCCTTTCGTGACGGTCAGCAGGTAGTAGTCGCGGAAATCCTGGCAAGAGAGGCCGCAACCGTCCCACTGGCAATGTCATAAAGCGTAGAATCTGCGTAGAAACGACCAGCACGAATCTCCTGAATGATAGGGAAACGCTGACTTGAGTATGTGTGTATGACACTCTGCGAATGAACGCAATTCTACTAGGATGGTCCTGGTCATCATGACAATAGAAGTCGTAACTCACAACAACAACGACAGCGACAACAACGACAACCACAACAGCAGCAGCAGCAGCAGCAATAGCAGAAACAGGAGAAGCAGCAGCAGCAGCAACAGCAGGAACAGCAACAGCAACAGGAGCAACCACGATAGCGACAACATCAACCAGCGCGACAATCACAGCACCAACAGCAACAGCAACACCAGCAGAAGCCCCAGCAGCAGCACCAGGAGAAGCAGCAGCAGCAGCAGCAGCAGCAGCAGCAGCAGCAACATCAACAGCAACAGCAACAGCAACGGCAACAACAACAACAACAACAGCGACACCCACGATAGCGACACATCAACCACCACGACAACCACAAGACGAACAGCAACACCAACACCAGCAGCAATAACAACACCAGCAGCAACTGCAACAGCGGCAGCAGCAGCAACAGCAGCAACAGGAGCAGCAGGAGCAACAGCATCAGCAACAACAACAATAGCAACGACAGCCGCGATAGCGACACATGAACCACCACGACAACCACAACACCAACAGCAACAACAACACCAGAAGCAAAACGCCAGCAGCAACAGCAACACCAGCAGCAGCAGCAATTGCAGCAACAGCAGCAGCGGAAGCAACAGCAACAACAACAACAACAGCAGCAACAGCAACAGCGACAGCAACGATCCTCAACACCATCCCATCCCCGAGTTTCATTTTCGCAAATAATCTTTTTTGCTTTTTCCCCGAGGCTGCGAACTCTCCCCAACCGATTGTTCATTTACACTGCAAGCCTTGCTGAACTGCAGCCCAAGTCCCAAGCGGTAAGCCTTTGTTCGACACCTTAAAGCCTTTACTTTTTGATGATACAGGACATCAGGCTGCCGGATGGCCAGGCTCTGCGCGGCGCGCTGCTGTCGCGGACTCAGGGCTCGTCATCCGGGTGAGCGGCGGCTTTCAGTTAAGGGTCGCGGCATGCAAAGTGGGAATGCTTGACTGTCAACTTTTTCTGTACACCCGATCGCTGTCCTGACCCGCAGCTGGCTTCTGGAGGGAAGTTGTGTTCTGACAAGTAGCTGCCGCTTGTGGTTTCTGTTGCTGCTGTTGTTACTGGGTCACCTGCATCCGAGCAGCTATAGCTTTTCCTGCTTGTGGGCTGGCGCACGGCCTAGGTTTGTCGCTGCATCGATTCCACCGTCACATCGTTGATCCTTTCTATCAGCACCTGGCAGGCGAGAGAACGGCATCCGCGTGGGTCATGCAGCCCCTCCCGCTTGGCCAAGCACTAAGCTTGCGAAGGAGCTCCAGTCGCTTCATGAAGGTTCAAGATGGTCGTTGTGGTCGTCGCAATCGAAAGCCTTGGCTGATCTTGCATTGCTTTGCCTTGGGGTTTGACAAGCAATCTTGGTGATTTTTTGTCATCCTAGCATCCAGGCTTCTTATGCTGATACCTCCGTGTGTACAACTGCACTGGAGTCTGCAGCTCAAAAGCATTTCTCTATTCCACCGCCCAACCCCTCGTCTCAGTCGTCGTGGTTCTGAAGTCCCGAACTGCCAGGCTGAAAGCCTTCGCGACCCCCATCAACAGCCTCATCGGTCGAGACCTTTGCGGTGAGCCGCTGTCTCAGAGTCTCAGGGAGTGCTACGAATTCGATGTTCATGGTTAGCGCATGCAGCATTCTTGAACCGGGGGTGGACTGGGGTTTAAGTGCAGGCTTTGCGGGACTCCAAACACTTCCGAGGTTCCAGCTGACAACCGGCATCGGCTTGATCCTGGACACTGCACCACCCGGGCCGCTGTTGGGGGAGGCTTGGTGAGCGCTTCAGTGTTTCTCCACGCTTACTTACTGCTGGCAATGGCGAGATGAGATGCTTTAGCTGTTGTTGTGGAACTACGCAGATGAAAGGGTGGAACTATCTCAAGCCACGAGCATGAAGCATGGTAAGACCTGGTAAGAGATTCGGGTGCTGCTTGATGTTGGGTTGCGTTGATCGACGGAAGATGTCCGTCCTTAGCGTGACAAGCTTTCCGCCAGGTCTGTCTGTTCTCGACAAGCACGCCAGTGTCTCAGAGTGCCTGGAGATCGGCCAAATCGTGGCGTCGTAGCACACCTCGGCCCATGCCGAAAGGTCGCAACTGCACATTTAAAGCCGGATAGCTTCCAGAGACACCTCTGCGGCTGCATAGGCAGACCTTCCATTGCAGGGGCGAGAGGGGTGAGCCTGCTGAAAGAGTTCGATGTTCACTTTTGGCCACGCGTGCCGTCCTGTGGACGAGGATTCTGACCCTGAGTCGGAGACCATGTTCAGTACCGAGAAAGAACGCTCCTGCTCTGCTGCCGAAAAAACTTCAATTTCAAGCCTTCCCACCCGGCTTGAGAGTGTGTTTGCAGCTTACTTTGCCTACATGGACGCGTAGATACAAGAACAGTACTGAGGTGTGCAAGTTTCTCATCGATAGTTTTGAAGACAGATGCATCTACCATGAGCCCTGTCGCAGTACGCTTGATTGAGCGATCGCGACCGAACAAATCTGTATTTGCCCAGGCCTTGCTGTTCCTGCATAGCCGTTCTACGACAACTCCAGCTGCGCTTCACAGAGCATGGGCCTTATGAGTCAGTGTAGACCTTAGACAGAACACGTGTTTGCATACGTGGTATGATTTATGTTGCTGCTGGTAGGCCTTTTCGTGCATTTATCTCACCGAAAGCGGTTTGACTAGCAATAGCCGCGATACCAGTGACGTTTTTCTGCTGCTACTTCTACAGCTACGTTTGTGATAGCCACGACTGCTGCAGCGGCTCTTAAGTTACTGCCCTCCTCCTACGACTGCTACTCCTCCTCCTGCTCCTGCTCCGGCAGCTGCTGCATTGGCGAGTACTTCTTCTACTACTACTTGCTTTTGCTACTGCGACTGCTGCTGCTAGTAGTAGTAGTGGTAGTAGCAGCGGTAGTAGCTGTAGCCGCTGTTGTAGCAGTAGCAGCAATAGGCAGTTGCCGTAGCAACAGCAGTAGCAGTAGTCCTCAGAGGAGTACTGCTGCTACTACAACAACTGAGGCTGCGCGTGATGTTTGCGAACGGCGAAAATTTCGACTGAGAGGAAAAAACCATGTCCGACTGATCCCAGGCCAGGATTGAGAATTCAGCAAAATGGGATAGTACCTCTTCAAGGTATGGGTCGTGGTTTCCATTGTGGTTGTTGTTGGTGTTGTTCACGTTTTCTTGCTGTTGCCACCCTGTTGACCCTGTTGCCTCTGATGTTGCTGGTGCTGGTGCTGTTGCTGTTGTTGGTGGCGGTGCTGGTGCTGTTGTTGGTGCTGGTGC